GGTTGGAGTTCCAAAACACTGCTGCTAGACAGAGCCATTATTAGCTGGCTGGAAGGTTCCGCAAGTTTGGAGCAATAGGACTACAGAGTCCCCTTTGGTCTTGGATTCCTTCCATAGTTATTCCACTTCAGATTTCAGACTAGAATGGAAACTGGAATTGAGACCCTAAGTTGCTTTCAGGGTCAAATTCAAGCAATTGCTGCCTGCTTCTGTGCTTGTTCCTTACTTAGTACACAGTCTAGAGTCTGTGACTACTCTCTGTCCTAGATCATTATCCCTAGATACAGACCCCCTCCTTCAGTCACACATTGGATCTATGTGATTCAGTACCAGGTACTGAGTGACACAACTGCTAGTTGGTACCCATTTCTGCACAAGGTCAAGACCCTTTGTATTGGATCTGGAACCTCTCCTTGCTCAAGTATAGAGTATAAAGCCATGGACAGCCTACACAGTGCATTCCTAATAAGACCTCTATTCTCAGTGTCTGCACTGGGTTGGAAAAATGACTCAATGTAATTTTTTCCCTTGTATTTCTCAGTCAGGACTCAGTCCTGTGTTTTCTAGTTGTTTAGCTGTGGAAGACAGCTTAGTTATATTTCTTTCTGCTACTCCATCAGTTGCTGGTCTCCTACCAAGTATGGAATTCTGCTTACAGTTTTTCACTAAATATTTTTTAAAACTGAAAAACAATGTTTGGTATATATACAAATAAGCTCCTAAAACAATGTTACAGCTCAGCCCTACTATCTGCAACAATTTCCTGGGTGGTAGGGAAAACTGATAGGAATAAAAATACTGATAGTTACTAGGAATTAGAAGTTAGGTTTGAAGAAGCTAAAAGGGATACACTGGGTTCATTATACATTTTTCCTCTAATGTACAAAAGAGAACTGGACTTGAAGCCAAGAGACCTGGGTTCAAACACCAGCTACACCCTTTGCTGAAGGAACCTGGGTGAGTCGCTACCTCCAGTTTCCCCATCTGTAAAATGCAGATAATAATACTTGTACCACCTACCTCAAAGAGTTGTTATGAGGGAATACTTTCTAAATCCTAAAAAAGCAATAAAGGCAAGTTATTATTTCTTAATGAAATGGAGGTAAGGATATAGCTTATTGACAAGAACACTACAATACAGAAGAGGGAGGGACCTAGAGAGAGAGATGCCTCAAGGTGAACAAAAACAACAAAAACAACTCAATCCAATTCAAGGAGTTTTGGATACTGGGGAGTGGCTCTCTGGTGGGATCACTGATATTCCCATCTACTCAGCTGAAGTTATAACAAGTCTTTTGGAGATTAAATGCAGCTTGTCCTATTTTTTGAATCCAGTCTTGACCACTAAGGTAAATGAATTTTAGAATTTATTCAGCTGCCTGGTTTTCTTCTCTAAGTCTTAAGAAAGCAATAAAAAACACTGAAGAGCCTCTAACAGGTCTTGGGACAAGATAAGAAATGGTGACTAGGAGACTGCTAGTGGTGGTCAGCTTTTAGGCAAACATAACCATCTCCTCCTTGCAAAGACACCTAAGGATCACGAATAATATTTTTTAGGGGGTAGGAAAGAATGACAAATGTGCTAATCCTCTAAGATTTTTTTCTTTTGGTTTTACCAACAAAACCACTAAAGAAAAAGAGAATGGTTTAGGAGGAGGAATGAAAGCTGAAGATAGATTCACCAGAAAAGACCACCCTTTAAAACATCCAAAAGTCATAGCAACAGACTCAATATTAATTCTATTACTTATTATATTTCTTCTCATCACCTCTTACACATCATCATCTTTATCAAAGCCATCATCTCAAAAGACATACATTAATATGTAATACTGAATAAAAGACATACAAATCCTAAACTACTCACTGATAGTTGTCTCCAAACCAAAGAAAATTGGCTCTTCTGGCTATACCATTGTAGTCAATAATAACTAACGGTCCTATACTAGTCTGGGGAGACGTAGGGAAGCTTATGACCCCAAAGGGAGGTGACAGTAGAAAACCCTATCAATCAACAAACATTTACTAAGCATCTTATGGCACTAAGTGGAGGCTGGGAATTAGAAGATCTGGATTCTATTGATAACTATGCCATCATTAAGAAGGAGGAGAATTATATATATTTAACATTACTACAGCCTTGAATTTAGACAGCATTTTTCTTTTAAAACGCTCAAAGGGTTCAAACATACACATATTACCTCACTGATCCTCAAAAGATCTGGAAGCAAAGGATCTGGGAGAATTTACACTATATTTCAGAAGTGGGGGAAACTGAGGCAGAGAGATAAGTTAATTTGTGCCACACACAAATAAGAACTCAGAATTCTAACCTACCATACTGCTACTAAAGGATAAATAAAATGATGATGCTAGTGCCACGAGCATCATCCATCACAAAGTTGTAATCAGAGAGACCATCTCCCTTGATTTCCCCAATAGAAATAACAAATATTCACATATTATTAGAGTCTCAATTTCTTTTCCCAAAGAAGACATAATCCTTTTATATAGCTTTTAGAAAGAAACACTTATTCATCAATCAATTCATTCAACAGCCACTTATTAAGCATCTGATATGTGCAAATCCTTCTGCTAAGCATTGGGGAATAAGATATTCTCCTCAACCTGGACCACTTGACAGAAGAGAATGAGAAAAAATTTTTTGAGTTCTAGATTTACACCTTCTTATTTCAACATATGGCTTTAACATGCTTGAAGTACTCCTGTGAAGAAAAATGCCAGAGATATTTCAGCAAGCATAAAAGTTTTGGTTTTGTCTTCCCCATTCCCCCCAATAGTAGAGCAATAGAGGGAACTAACAAGAATGCAAGAATCAGGTGAGTTCAGGCAGTTATAATTAGACTACTAGCTAGAGACCACATAAACTGAGAAGCTTTACAGAGAGAAATAAGGTCTGAGTTTCTGCCAATACACTTCAGTTCAATGCCATCAAGCACACAAGGAACTACAAAGAACAATCAAGCAAATGGAATTAAAGGAAGAACTTTTCACATATGTCTCAAAAACTGCCCCATGGAAGACAATCAGGATGGCAAAAGGCCTTCAGTCCATTCTGGGGATCCAATAAAGGATCTAGAGCTTTTATCCTGGAGAAGATTCAGGGAGGACATGATAGCTGTGTTCAAGTATTTGAAGGGCAGCCCCGTGGAAGACAGATTAGACTTGCTGCACTTGGACCCCGAAAAAAGAGTTAAGAGCAAAGGTTAGAATTTGCAAAAAGATCAATTTACATTTTTGTGTCATGAAAAACTCTTGAACAATTAAAGCTGTCCAAAAATGGATTGGGCCGCCTGACAAGTGGTGAGGTCTTCTAGGAGAGGCTGGATGACCACTTGTTGGGTAATTTAGGATGGGGATTCCTTTCATGTTTGGTTTAGACTAAGTGACTGTTTCAGTCTCTATGAATTCTTAAATTCTACGATACTCATCCTGTGTAATGATTGTTTGTATCCTTCCAAAAATCAGAGGCTCCAATGTGTTTGGGGGCCTTCCTGTAGATTTCTTAACAGTTGGTTGATACCAGTGGAGCTCACAGGCTGACCAATAATGACCCCTCACTCTCATTGTGTGGCCAACCCATCTCCTTTTCCATTCATTCCTCACTCTATCTTTGTGCTGCTTCTCCTGTACTATCTTCATTGGTAATGTAGTATAGCCTGCTCATGTCACACATGCTCTTGGCATGACACTCTACCTTGAGTCTTGAGAGACTGTGGTATTCCATGTGGTATTCTATTATTGTCATGCAGCATCACTGGAAGAATATTAATTTGTTTCAGAGAGAACCCCGTGGTCAATAAAAATGTTGTTCAGTTTCCCAAAGGCAAAAAAAACAACAAAAAAAACTGCCCCATGTCCAAACAACCCAACAGGACTATTAACAATAAACAGTCTGCTATCTAGAATGGCAGCTCCATGCATCCTTGGGATTCTAAATTAGTAGGGGTGTCTTTCAAAACAGCTTCCTCTTATGCTGACATTCTCATTAGGACTAATGGTAAGACATAATAGAAAAAAGGGAAATTGGGTCCTAGAAAGCCTGGGGTCTCTAGAAAACAGGATAGCAAGGGCTGTGGGGAGGAAACTTGTCTCTGACACAAAGGCAAAACCTAATCTTACTAGTCATCATCAACTCTGGGTCCTAAAGAAAGCAAGCTCTATAAACTACTCCTTACTAAACTTAGTTCATAGTAGTTACCTTCAAGTACTGAATGCTATGTATTCAAATTTCTTTCTGTCTACAAAAAACACATCTTGCTCAGCTTTGCCTCAAACCCGTCACTAGTTTACTCTACCAAGGTATTCCAGAACATTATTTCTTTCTACCTGTTAGTCTTACAATCTAACAATTATAAGAAAGAATCTTACAATTCTTTAACTATGAAAGAGTCTTTTTATGGCTAGTTTTATATCTAATTCCAAACCTAACCCCCAAGACAATTCAATTCTCAGCTTATTTCAAACTGAGCTCCAACTCTGAACTTTCAGCATCTGATGTTGTCTGTGCCCCCAAATTACAATTCTCCAGTGACACACACTAGCTACTAGAATCTCTCAATCAGAAGTTATACCCTAAATATCCCACTCCTAACAGCAAAGGAAAGCAGCTCACTTTAAACTGTGCTTGCTCCAACAGCAGGAAACCACTGCTAAGCAATACCACATGGGAACACAAATAGCATCTCTTTAAATGGCACTGTGACCATTGGGGTGGTTTAACCTGGGACTTCCATCCCTAACTAGTCTCTTGGTGAACAGCCTAAAAGAGCCACCCAGACCAACATGCTGAGGATCTCCAAAAGCTAAGTCTGAGTATCATTTTCAAAACCAGAGAAAGTCTAAATTGATTTAGTACAGGTTGACACTTCTCCAACAACAAATGACATAATTAACTTGCTGCCTAAAGAAAAACAAGTAAAACGACCCTCACTTACCCAGAACTAAAAATTCCCCTCTTTATGTTAAAGGTTTCTTACCCTCTCTCTCCTCCTCCTTCTGTCCTATTCCTCCTCCTCAAGGCTCCCGAACTTTCTGAAAACAAAGTGTCTATGTTAGAATGGTCAAAAAGGATGTAAATTAATGAGGTGTCGGGGACCTCTGAGAATTTCCAATCTGTCAGCTGTCAGTCTGGAGGGAAAACATAATTCCTGCCTCTAACCCAAGAGAAGAAAGGTTAGGATAACAGGAATTTAGTCACTAAGAAAAAGATTTAATCCCTAGTAAGAAGTTGAACTATCTTCACCATTTAAGTATGGGCTGAAAGGAACCCCCCCACACACACCCTATTCCCCTAGAAAGCAGAGCTTTGATACCTAATTCGACTTATCACAGGTACCCAAGGGGCAGAAGCCAGGAAAAAAGGAGGTTGGGGAGCAGGAGGTAAGGAGGCAGTTTGGTCACCTCCCACCTGTGAGGACAGAAGACAAATCTGGGGACAGAACTAGGACGAGGGTGCCCCAAGTTCTTGTGCCAGGAGATAAAATCCCTAGTGCAGGCCTAGCCACTCCCATTGGCCACCCCCCCACCCCACCCCAAACCCCTGAGAGGACTTTGCCCCTCATCTGTCAAGGGCCCCATACCAAGGAGCCCCTCTGGCTCAAACCTCAGTCCCTCCCCCCAGTAGGGCCCCCTCTGCTCTAATAAACTCCTTCCCCCAAGACAGCCGCTAAGAGTCTGCCCCCCACCCTTGCTCACGCCCCCTTCCTCAGAGCCCTTCTGGGACATCGGCTCCCTCCCCTCCATAAGCCAAGCTCCGACACCCACCAGAAACCCACCCCCTACACCCCCCACTCCCACCATTCCCCCCGCCCCCCACCCCTGCGCCCGCTACTCCACAACCACTTCCGGTTCCGGGAGGGGGGGAGACACAGAGCCCCCCCACCCCCTTCGGGACAGGGAGGAGGGAACACGGAGCGTGCCGGCAGCAGCAGCAGCAGCGGCGGCGGCGGTGGCGCCGCGAGACTCACCCGGCTCCAGCGGCTGCAGCAGCAGCAGCGGCGGCGGCAGCGGCGGCGCGAGAGTCAGAAAGCTGCTCGGAAGGGGGCGGCGCGTGCCTTTTGCCGGGAGGGAGGCAGGGAGGCAGAGGGGTGGGGGGGAGGGAGGGAAATAGGATGAGGGGAAGTAGAGCTCGAGAGAGCGCGCGCACTCGGGGCGCTGGGCGGACCGACGGACCCTCCAGCCCCCCCACCCCGAAGGAGTGTATACACACACGGACAGACACACACACACACACACACACATACACACACACACGCCCCGCTCCACACACCCGCAGGGCGGGGGCGCGAGGCACTTGGAGCCCCCCCCTCCCCTTCACTCCACTCACCCGGAAGTGCTGCTGGCGCTCCTGCACTGAAGAACCCAGATTCCTCCCCTCCCCACCCCCCTCCCTCCCCCCTCCCCCCACAGGCCTGGAGAGGAGCCGCTGCGGCGAGAAGGCGGGAACACCGGAAACGAAGGAGGGGTGGGGAAAGGAGGGAGCTGGGGTGGTAGGAGAAGGGGGGGGAGGGTGCAAAGGCCCAGTTACTTCCGGGAGCGACTAGAGCTAATCTGGTAGTACGAGCACCTGGGGAGATAGACACCCCCGAGGCGGAAGTCGGGATAAATGAGGGCGGAAGTGGCTTCATCGAGGGGGAATATTTCAATGGTTAGAGGTGAGCGTGACGTTAACCGGAACTAGCGGGGGTAAGTAAGGGCAGAAATGAACTCACTACCCCCAGGGGCCCTTTGGGGGCGGGGTGGGACTTCTGGTTGAAGAGGGAGGATCTTGGGCCTCATGAATTATAAAGCAGTCCTTCTAAGGTAAGTGGAGGGGGGTGGTGCCTTAAAGGGCGAGGACGTTATTTCAGTTAGATCAGCGTTCAAGGCCCCATACTAGGAGGTCGGAGTCTAAAGACCAAAGAAACTACCTCTGCCCTCAAGGAGCTTCCATTCTATTGGGAGGGTAGAATTTGCACTGGGACCAGTAGAGCTGTGTGATCCTGCCTGTGTTTGCCCCTAGGCTGACTTAACAACTTCGAATTTGGACAGACTTTCCAGCCCCCCACCCCCACCCCCTTTAGTTCTCGTCAGTCGAGTGCTGGATTTGGTGCCACGTATCCGTATTTCATGGCTCTCTTTTGTTATGCTTTTAATTCTGTGTGTTTTTTTTTAATGGAAACATGCAAAAGTTGTAGTTATTAAAAAGCATATTTCAATGACTATTAGAGACTGTTTGTATGGGGAAATCATGTGTTTGAATGATCATTCAAGGCCGAATGAAACAGGATCAGTTGCACTGAAGCACAAAAGATGATTTAAAAAAAAGAAGACAACACAGAGAACTGACAAAGTATTGCTGCAGAATAATCTGATTAATTCCCAGAAAATAAGCAAAGACCTTCACAGGACCCTGCGCTAGTCAAGTTTTTACTGATTCCTCTACAACGTGGAGTAAGCTTTTGAAAGTTGGAAGAACAGAAAAAAAAAGCTGCTAATTATTGTTATGAATTAAAAACTGCTCATGGGGAGCAATACAATACAAAGACAGGTGAAGATTGGGAAAAGGTTTTTTTTTTCCTTATAAAACTCACTTTTTCATTCAAAACTTTATACCAGAAGTCCAGATAAGCCTGTAAAACATGCCTCTTCATCAAACTGTTAAGCCATCCATTCCTCAAAAAAAATGTTTTGGAATTTTTTTTACTTCATCAGGACTGGAGTTCTTATTCCCAATGAAAGAATTACGAATGCTGGCAAATGTATTAATATACTGAGAAGCTGAATTGTTCCAGAAGTATATGAAAACTTACCTTGTGTATGTCACAAAAGGATAAGGAATTTAATCAAAACGGAGATAAGCATATTTCGGTAACGTGGTACTGGCTTGATTTAAAACTTATTGAAAACTTATTAGCTTGACTATGGTTTGTGACAGGTTTTGTTTTTCTTGCTTTCTCAATGCAGGAGTTGGAGGTGGGGGGTAGGAGAGAGAGAATTCGGAGCTGAAAATAAAATTTTTTGAAAGGAAATCTATAAGCAGTACTCAAGGCTAGACTTGGAGAAATGAGCTACTCGTTAAAGTTATGCTCAATATCCAGTGTGATAAAAGTGTGGCTTCCTGTTAAATTAGAGAATGTAATATCGTGTCAGCTGTGTCCAAAAATATGTAAAACAAGTGATCACAGCAAAAAACAGGGCATGTTGCATATTAAAAATATTAAAGATATAAACATTCTGTAAGGATTATTGCATTAGTCAATAAATTTAAATTATTTTAGATCACTGTAACTACAAATGTAATGGGGATCCATTATAAGAGGAGAACCCACAGCAATTCTCTCAATTCTGAATTTTCATCTGCTCAAAAGTCCAGAGTGGTTTGGGGACTGAGGGAAGGACAATAGAGTGTTTGGCAACTGCAATGTTTTCTTTTTTAGATCACTAAAAGGCTGGTGAGTGTTCTCCCTTGCTAAAGTCTGCCTTGCAAATTTTGAGTGGAAACAGTTAAGTTCATAGTGGACCTTAGAGAGTAGTTATATTTGTGCTGGGGAGTATGGGCCCTTCCCCCCTCCCCACTCTCCCCCTTCTCATTTTCAATTGAGAGACTTCCAGGGTAGTTGTCCATGCAGCTCAGGGAGTGGATGGAGATGCATCAGGGGGAAATAAAGCTTTGGCTGCCATAGAGGTGAATAGAAGAAGGCTTTGAGGGTAAGGCATTTGTGTTGCTAGAGAATGGGACCCACTTTCTTCAATTCATATCTCTATCTGTAATGATTAGGATGGGCAACAGCAGAGTTGAGATTGCAGACAGCGGAAGCAGCAATGGTGTAAACTTGTAGTTATTTTGATAGGGAAGAGTGTCAAGCTAGGATGAATGTTTTGCTAAAGGGTATTGGACAGGAAAGGACTCAACTAGCGTGCTGAGGGGATATCAGCAATCTTGAATCAGGGAGCAGTGGTCAGTCAGGGCCAGGGAAACCAATTTTTCTCAAATACTGAGGAAAGAAGATGCCATTTGCTGTAAGCTACCTCTTCTCTGCCTTCTTTTCATCACAAAGCCCGTTTCCATTGCCCTCTATAGCTGATAAAGTGTCCTTTCCTTACCAGTTCCTTTCCTCTCATGAACTTCTTAACCCTTTGCTATCTGGCTTCCTAAGTTAATTAGGCAATTAGGTGGTGAAGCAGATAGAGCCCAGGGCCTGAAGTTAGGATGACCTGAGTTCAAATCCAGTCTCAGTCTCAGATATTAGCTGTGTGATCCTGGGCAAGTCACTTAACCCTGTTTGCCTCAGTCTCCTCATTTGTAAAATAAGCTGGAGAAGAAAATGGCGAACCACTCCAGTATCTTTGCCAAGAAAACCCCAAGTGGGGTCCCTTAGTGTCGACTGGACAAAACAACAAAAAAGCTTATTAGTGAACTGAAACTATCTTCAAAGTTATCAATTATTTCTTAATTACCATATCTGATGGTCTTTTTCTCTGTTCTTCTTGACCTCTCTGCAACCTTTGGATACTCTCTTCTCTGGGTTTTCATAACACTGCTCTCTACTACTTCTATATTTCTGATCTCTCCTCAGTCTCCTTTGCTGGGTCATCAACCATATGATACTCATTAACTGTGGGTGTATTCCATGCTGTCTTTTGGGCCCTCTTCTTTCCTCTCTGTACTCTAACTTGATATCTTGAACTCCCATGGATTTAATTATCATCCATATGGAAATGAGTCCCAAATCTATATATCCAGCTACAATCTCTCTCCTGAGCACCAGGCCTACATCAATTAAACATTTTCAAACTGCATGTCATATAGACATCTCAAATTCACCATATTCAGAGGCGGAACCTACCTTCCCCCCCAAACCCATGCTCTTCCAAACTTTCTTATTTCTGTTGTGGGCTTCACCATTCTTTCAATCTCTTAGGTTCACAACCTTAGAATTACCCTAAAATCTTTATTTTCCCTCACCTCACATATGTAATCTGTGGCCTGCTTTTGCCATTTCTAGCTCTACAACATCGTTTACACAGCTTCCAGTGAATTTCTGCAAATGAAGGTCTGACGATCTCTCTCTCACACACACACACACACACACACACACACACACACACACACACACGCACGCAATGAATTCTAGGGGCTCCTATTGCCTTTAGGATCAAATACAAACACTTCCATTTGACTTTTAAAGCCCTTCACAGCCTGGCCCCATTCTACCTTTCCAGCCTAACCATATTTTACTCCTTTTCCCCCACTCTATGGTCCAGCTATACCAGTCTTTTTGCTGTTTTTCATACAAGGCACTCCATCTTCCTTTGTATACCTTTGCAGTGTCTGTCCTCTGTGCCTGAAGAATGCATTCCCACCTCACCTCTACCTCACAGAATTCCTCACTTCCTTTAAAACTCAGCTCAAAAACTACCTACGTTAAGCCTTCCCTGATTTCTCCCACATACATCTACCTAGTGCCTCCCTCCCTAAACTACCTTGTATTTATTTTTAATTTATCCTTCATTTACTTATATGTAATTGTACACATTGTTTACTCCCACAGGAAGTAAGTTCCTTGAGAGAAGGGAGTGTTTCAGTTTTGTTTTGTCTTTGAATCACCAGCACCTAGCTCAGTTCCTGGCACACAAGAAGTGCTTAATAAATGCTCATTGATATATTGAGCTGTGTTTTGAAGGCATCCAAGTGCTTGTCTATGCTTGCTCTCGTAGAAGGCCAGGACTGAATGCTTAATGCTTACTGAATGCTTGATTAATTGAGCTATTCTTTAAAAGAAGCCAAAGCTTCTATGAGGCTGAATTGAGAAGGGATCGAATTCCAGGCCAGTAGAAAGGTAGGAAGGCCAGAAATGGACTGGAGGGGGAATAGCAAATAGGGAAGTTGTACTAGAATGGAGAGCTTGTGAAGAGGAAGAACATGAAATAAGGTAAGTGGGAACCATATTACGGAGGGGGTTAAGATGTCAGACTGAAGATTTGATATTTTATCCTGGAATTAATAGGAAGCCATTGATGATTTCTGAGTAATAATGAACTGATGCAGAGTGAAGTGAGCAGAACAGGAGAACAATTTATACAGATGCAGTGCAGACTGAAACTTTATTTTTAGACATGGCTGATGTGGGAATTTGTTTTGCCTGACTATGCATGTTTGTTACCAGAGTTTTGTTTTTCTTAAGAGAGAGGTGGGGAATGGAGGGAGGATGGAAAGGTCAATTTTTGTTAATTGAAAAAAAATGTTCATAGCATTTTAAGATTTACTAAGCATTTTACAAACATTATTTAATTTTATATCAACAACAGTCTTGGGTGAGAGAGATGCTATTCTTATCCCAATTTTAGAGCTGAGGAAACAGCCTCAAAGAGCCTGGTTTGCCCTGGCCCCCAGCTGGGTTGAGGTCAAAGGTGGTATTCAACCCACACTTTACCTACTACACCAGTGATCTCTCCCTGCTCTGAGCCTCTCTGGCACTTCAAGACTGCACTGATCCTTGGGAAGTTGTCATCTATTCACTAACTGGTAGTAGGTACCTTTTAGTAACCAACAGATTACAGAAAGCACTGAATCTGTAATCAGGAAGCCGAGATCTGAATCATGGTGAGATGGTCAGATCTTTAATTCAGGAAAATCAATTTGGCAGCTTTGTGGAGGATGGAGAATATGGAGACCAATTAAGAGGCCACTGCAGTAAACTATGGCAATGAACACCTGAACTACTGTAACAAATGTGTGGAGAAGAGAGAGAATGGCTGAGGCTTGGCAACTAATTAGCTGGGCAGGAAGGTAGAGAAGATGAAAAAATCAAGAGTAGTTCAGAAGTTGCAAATTTTGGTGACTGGAAGATTGGTGATGGTGACTGGAAGATTGGTGATGCCCTCAACATTAATAGGAAGAAGGAATAAGATGAGGGAAAGAGGTGTGGCATGAGAAGATAATATAATAAATTCTGTTTTGGCCATGTTAAATTTGAAATACTGATGCCATGATGCTCCCTCCTTAAAGGGGGAACTGAAGCCCACAGAGAGAATTCTCAGAATTATACCCTTTAAACCCTAGCTCATGTACCACCTCTTCCATAAAGCCATCCCACTGCAACCCGTAGTGATCTCTTCCTGTTCAGAATTCCCACAACACTTGAAGTCTCTGTTGTTCACATCTTCCACTTCCACTTCCTGGTATTAGATATCTTTTTCATAACTAGCAGATAACAAAGAATACAGAATTTAGAGTCACAAGACCTGGGTTTGAATCCTTCCTGGCTCTACTAGCTGTGGAGCCTTGGGCAATTCTGAGACTCAGTTTCTTCATCTTTAAAATGGGGACATACATTGTAGAGTTGTGTAGAAAGGTTTTTGTAAATGTTAAAGCAATATAAATATGAACTGTTGTTTTCATGCACATATATCTTGTCTCCTCAACCAAACTATAAGTTTCTTCAGTGAAGGAACTAGACTCTTGAATCTACTACAACACTGAGGCATGTAATAACTATTTCTCAGGTGAAGGAATGAATGAATGAATGAGTGAATGACCCCTGCCAAGCCATCAAGCCAGTGATTCAAGGAACCTAAGAGTTAATGGTGCTATCTGTTAGATCCCAAATCCTACTTTCTCTGGTTTATAACTATGCTTTTGCCCCTTCTTTTTATATATTGTTGTGTTATATATTCAGAGTATTTAAGAGTCTTTTTCCCAATTAAAAGATATTTATTAAGCAACTGTTATATGCAGAGCACCTTGCTACATGCTACTGTATAGAAAGACACTCCCCCCCCTCAAAAATACCTGCCCTCAAAAAGGTTACATTTTTTGCCACAGAGTGAGGGGGATGCAATATGTTCCTATGTAAATAAAGGTGTAATGAAGCTTAGCATCTTAACACCAACCAGGACAGAGAAGACACAGACAATTAGATAATAATAACAACTCCTCTTTCACTGAGATTGAGATCATCTGATCTGTTGGGATCTTTCTGTTCCATCTTCCACTTCTTAAATTTTTAATAATCATCAATTTTCCATTTATATCAATTGTACATTACAGTCATCTATATATGTATCATACTTCTCACTAAACTGTAAGCTTTGAGAAGGCAAAGGCTTTGTCTTTTCTAATCTTTGTTATCTCATTAATGCCTAGCACAGTGCTAGATTGTGTAGTGGATAGAGCACCTGTCCTGGAATCAGAAAGAGCTGAGTTCAAATCCAGCCTCAAACACTTACTAGCTGTATGACCCTGGGCAAGTCACTTAACCCTGCTTGCCTTAATTTCCTCATTTGTAAAATGAGCTGGAGAAGGAAATTACAAACCGCTGTAGTATTTTTGCCAAGAAAACCCTAAATGGATCACAAAGAGTCTGATATGACTGAACAAACAGTGCTCTTTGCACATAGAAGGTACTTAATAAATGTTTGTTGAATTGTTGAATAAACATTGAAACCAATAATAAATGGATAAGATTCATCACTTGCTTGTACTTATAGTAGTTATATACATATATATATATAGTATATATAACTTATAGTTATATATTTCTTCATTTTTTAAAAAAAAGTATTTTAAAGTGTTTTTCCCCCCTGCTAAACCTTCTTAGCTCTCTTCTTCTCTGGCACTCCACTAGGCTAGTCACTGTAGAGTGTTGACTGTGAATGACAAAGGAGATACTAAAAAACAAACAACTTAGCTGGCCTTAATGAATTCAAGAACTAAGTTTAGACAAACTACATCACCTAGTATTAAAAGAAGAGGGAGAAGTGATTGTTGAAGCATTATCAGTGATCTTTGAAATCTTGTGGAGAATGAAAGAGGCATGACAGGATTGGAGAAGGGCAAAGGTCTCAGTTTTCAAGAAAAAGCATCTGAAAACTACAAGCCAATGAGCCTGACTCTGATTCCTGACAAAATTATAGAATATAACACCAAAGGAAAGGAATCTAGAAAAGTAGGGATCACAAGAAGCCAGCATGACCTTACCAAGAACTGGTCATGGATTCCTTAATAATCAAAGGCTATGAACCAACAGTTGTCAGAAGAAGAACTGCAAATTACCAAGAACCATATATAAGACTACTCCAAATTACCAATAAGAAAAATGCAAATTAAAGCAACTCTGAGCTTTCAATACCCAGCAAATTGGTAAGATGACAGAAAACAGAAATACTGTTGGAAGGACTACAGAAAGGCATGCACACTACAGCATACTGCTGGTGAAGCTGTGACTTGATCCAACCATTCTGAAACAACAACAGCAACTTAGAATTATGTGAGAAAAGTGACTGGAACTATTAATACTTTTTGACCTAGAGATCCCACTCCTGGGCATATACTCAAGGAGGTAAAAGACAAAAAGAAAGGTCTCATATATATCAAAATATTCATAGCAGCACTTTTTTGTGATTAGACAAAACTGAAAACAAAGTAGGTACCCATCCATGGGAGAATAGTTGTGTAAATTGTGGTATGTAAGTGTAATGAATAATTATTACGATGTAAGAAATGGTGAATATGAAGAATTGCGAGAAATATGAGAAAACTTATAAGAACTAAACCAGGAAAGCAGTATACACAATGCCTACAGCAACATCAATGAAAAATACACTGAAACTAAGCCAAAAGGCTGAATAATGGTAATGACCAAATTTGAAGCCAGAGAAGAGTAAGCACTCCCCTCTTTTTGGTAGAGAGAGTGGGGACTATGAGTGTAAAATGTTGCACACACTGTCAGAAATGATCTGTTTGTTGGTTATTTTTATTTGATTTTTTTCTTTGCTACAGAGAAGAGCTCACTTCCGTAAGGCCAGAGGAGGTTTGTATTCTTAAATGACAGTGATATTATTTTTAAAAGGCATCAGTAATAAATAAGTGAATTAAATAAATGAATAAATAAAAGATTGAACCAACAACTCTTCCCCTCGACCCAAACAGGAAAACAAAACCCAACCCAGGTCATGAGAGAGCCTTATTTCCTTTTTTGTTAGACTGGTAGATCAGGAGAATGCTGTAGACAGTTATCCTGATTTTCACAAACCATTTGACAGAGTCTGTCACTATTCTTATGGAAAAGATGGAAGAGATATAGGCCCCAAAACAGTATGATTATGTGTATTCTAAACTTATTGAATGGCCAGATTCAAAGAGTGATCATTAATGGCTCAGCATCATCTTGGGAGTAAGTTTCTAGTGGAGTGCATCAGGGATCTGAGCTTGGCCTTGTGCTGTTTACCATTTTTATCAATGATTTGGATAAAGGAGTAGATGACAGGCTCATCAAATTTGAAGATGACCCAAAGCTGGGAGGGAAGCTAACATACTGGCAAATAGTCAGAATCCAAAGAAATTAGAACAGCTTAGAACATTGGGCTGAGTCTAATAAGATGAAATTTAATAAGGCTAGGTATAAAATGTTACACTTAAATTTTAAAAAATCACCTTCACAAGTACAAGATGTGGGGAATATGACTAGACAGCAATCTATCTGAAAAAGATTTGGGTGTTTTAACAGAATTCAGGCTCCATGTGAGTCAGCAGCGTGATATAAAAAAAGCAAGGAGGTGATGGTACCATTGCTCTCTGTCCTGGTCATTCCAACCAACAACGTCTACTTAGTGCATGGCCTAAGGTTAGCCTCTGCAGATAAGAATGGTAAGTAATAGAAGCTTTACTATCAAGAAACTTACAATCTAATATGAGAAAAATGAGAATGCTAACTGATAAGTGCAAATGAGAGGCAAATTGGGCAAACCTCGGCAAAAGGTTAGAAAAACAACTCAAGCAGAGAGGGATCATTTTCACTTTGAGGGATAGGGAGGAAGAATGAGAAGGAAAGTCTTCTGGGAATGCTTCATGGAAAAAATAGCATAAAAGTTGGGCCTAGAAAGAACAGGGCCTTCAAAAAACAGAGATGGGGGGGTGGGTGGAAATCCCCTTCAGGCACAGGCAAAGGCATGATGATAGAAGAAAGCAGGAAGTAAATGGGTATTATCAGTACAGGTAAAGGGGAATAGTATAAGATAAAGCTGGACAGGTAAATTGGATACAGATTGCAATGAACCTCAAATGTGGGAATCGGAGGTTTATTTAGCTAGCAACAGAACCCACTAAAGTTTTTAAGTAAAAGACTGACAGGATCATAAGAGTATGCTAGAAAGATTACTTGGGCAATGGTATGGAAGACAGATTGGGAAGAGTATGGACTGGAGACAGGGAGATTAATTAAGAGGCTATTATAATTATATAAGGCACTAGTCTCCAAACTTTTTGATTGTGTACCTATATCATATTCACAGGCAAAGACTGTTCTCAAACAGTGTCTCTACCCCCACCTCTCTGCCCTATCCCTTCATTTGGGCTCTCTTTGGAGTCCATTCTCAGATTGGTTGAAGAAATTGAGATTGTTTTACCCAGAGAAGAAAAGTTACAGTAGGAGATGGGGAAAGGACATTCACTTTCTTCTGGTATTTGAAAGGTTAACCAGGAAAAGGGATTACACATATTCTGCTTGGGCCAGGAATGTATAACTAGGACCAATAGGTGGAAATTACAGGGAGGGAGATGTTAGCTCAACATAAGGAAAAACTTCTTAACAATTAGGGCTGTCAAAAAAAAAAATGGAATGAGGTGCCTGGGGTTGAGGTGGAGATAAGGAGATTGGTTTTGAATTCCAGTTTTTCGTCCCTTTTCCTCCCATTCTATCTTTTCTCTATATTGCTGTCTCTTCATCCCATCCCTCCATATTCTCACTACTTTGTTTCTGGTTTTCTGTTAGCCAACATTTTTGCCAGTACTTCATCAGATCTCTCTCATTTCCACTTCATTGACTCCTTCCTCTAGAGATTTGTTTTCTCCACATTTCTGCGTGTTTTGGTCTACTGCTTCCCTATCCCACCCCACATCACATTTTCCTTTTTAGCATTTGTAGATAACCTTGTTCTACACTTAGATGAATCTGTACCTGCCCTATCTGTACCTAGCAATTTTCCTAGATGTGACCTATGAATGTATCACCATACTCATGCTAGAATATATCTAATTCTATTTTTATATACTATCACATGGATATACATATAGTCTCTCAGGGGGACCCAGATACCCTTCTCTGCTATTTTCACACACCCTGAGGCTATCCCATTTCAGGGTGGAGGCTGGGGGTAGGAAATAGGGGGAGAAACAACTACTTCACAGTCACCATGGCAACAGAGCCTAGCAACGTCAAGAGACTGATGTCTGGACTGGGAGGGAGGGGAAGAGGGAAGCAGGGAGGTTGGGTGCTGTTGTAATACTCAAATACAGAACTTGGGGTTTTGAATTCCCCTGTTTCCACCCAAGCCAGTCAGCCTCCATGCTTCTGCCCCTCACTTTCACCCACACTACCTCAGAATTGCTACTTGGGGCCCTCCCATCAGAAATGCTGGATTTAGGGGAGCCAATAAGGAGAGCTAATCACAGGCACACTAATGCAGCATTAGGTAGCTCTGAGGAGGTGGTGTCAAGGCTGAAAAACAAGGCCCCAAATGAACATTTAGGGCATCATCCCTCTTCCTCCCCACCTCCCTTTTCTCCTTCCATCTCCCCAAGTTTCTAATCTTATTTTTAAAAAATTCCTTCCCATTTCTTTGTCTACTCCCTTAACCTTCTTTTTCCATCTCCTTTTGCCCTAAATCCTTGGCTATCTTTCTGTCTTTCTTTTTTTGGGGGGGTGGGTTGGGGTGGAGTGGGCACAGATCTGAGACTTCAGTGGTATAACAAATTCCTAGTAAGGAAACTTTTTCTACTAATGAATGAAAGTTAGCATCTGCTCTGCAACTTACCAAGTGGCCTGGGGCATTGAGAGGGGGTTACACAGCTAATACATGCTGGAGATAAACCTCAACACCCCTCTGATTCTAAAAGCAGCTCCCTAAGCATTACACCACATTGCCCCTCTCCATTGTGTCTCTTTGTATATTTATTGGAAGATAGGCAGGATTTTCCGCTTCCATAGCTGTTTGTCCTCTCCTCTCCCTCCCTTTCCCTCAGGAGTTAAAGCTTGACACCCCAGTTAGACTTACCTTCTGGTCAGATATAGGTGCAAGGGACTCCTCCACCCCGTCTTTCTCTTCCCTTCTCCCATTACCCATTCCTCGCAACAGGGGTCACAAGGCAGAAGTAGGGGGCTTGAGTATTTTGCAAAGGTTTTATTTGAAAATTCTGAAACTTACATCCCACAAGAATCAAAGATTATCACCACAAGAAGAAAGAGAGATAATACAAAAATATATATCACAGCATAGGGGACCAAGAGGGGCAAGGAAAGAATTAGGAGAAGGAAGAGAAGAGAGAAAAATGGAAAGAGAAAAGAATGGGCTCAGAGAGGAAGCAAAGGAAAGGGGGAGGAAGGGCAAATGACAGAAGTAGAAAAAAAAGGAAAAAAGAGGCAGAGAGAGACAAGGATGGGACTGGGTAAGAAGGGCATAGTCATGGGTGTTGGGGGGCAGAGTGCCCAATGGCCTTGAGCCTATTGGCTTTGCTTCCTACAAAGCCTGGGCTGAGTTAGTGAGGCCACTCCCTTAATAAAGAGCTGGCTTAGGGGGACTCTGAAATCCATAGGGATTGACACATAGACAGAGACAGCTGGCATTAGCATGACGGAGGTGACTTGGGGAGCTTTCTCCAGGGGCTCAGGAGGTGACTACCCCATAACCCTTTTAGATACCAGAATTTAGCAGTATTGTAAAGGGCAAGGCTTGGGGCTTCAGCACCCTCCCCCATTCCCATCAAGAAGTCCACAGAGTGGTAAGAGCGCCTGGGTGGGGATTGGCTAGGACAACTAGGGAAGGAGAGACAGGAAGCACAAGACATTGGGTGGACTGGGGCAGTGAAAACTAAGGGCACTGGAGGCCCCCAAAGCTCACCCCCTCCCCACCTGTAGGGCAGCATGCAGGGGCCACAAAACCTAAGTGAGTGTGCAAGAGAGCATGTGCAAGCCACTCAATGTGACAACAGAGTGGATATGTAAGAGAGTTAATATATGTGAAAAGTTAAATGTGCATGAGAGCATGGACAATTAGGTGGAGAGGTAGAGATGAAAATGTTTAAAAAAAGTGATGAAGAATGGGTGGTACAAGAGGGAAATAGAATGTAAGAGTTTAGTTTAGTAACAGATGTGGAAGAGGGTGAGTGCAAAAAACTATCTGTACAAGAGTGTGCAATACTGTTCCAGTGTGGAGGTGAGTGTGCAGTGAGGCTTTTGTTTGAGCGCGCAAGGGCTTTGAGGGAGAGAAGCCCTATCTATGGGATGTGAACAGGGTGACTGCCTTTGGGGCCAGGTGAGTGTGCAAGGAAATGGGTGTGCAAGAGCAGGAGCAGGGGTCCTCTGCCAGCAGCATCTGGGGCCCCAGCTCACCACAGCTGCCCCACCCCCAGCGGAATGGTGGCTGTGTAGGCCCCATGGGCTTCTGCTTGGCTGGACCCCACCACTGAGGGGCATCACAGATTCACCAGGGGAATCCTAAGGGGAAGAGGGAAAGGGCAAAGTCAGGGACACAGGGATGGGGTTGAGTTAGGGACTGGAGGCCTTGGCCAGAGACAGGTGGAGTCAGTGTCAGGGGGTGGGACTATGGAGAAGGGGTGGAGTCAAAAGTAAAGAGGGAGAGTCAGAACCAAAGGGGTGGGGCCAAAACTAATAGGGTGGTGTCATAGCTAAAGGAGCATAATTAATGCTTGTTGGATTGGACTGGGCAATAGAGTCATAGGCTCAGAGTTTATAAAATCTTAGAATGTCAGAGCTAGAAGGGACCTAGAGATAATGTGGTCTCACCCCTTTAGGTGGGAAAGAGATCTAGAGGCGGGGGTAAGAGAAAAGATGAAAGAGCCCTGGGACATAGCCTAATCAGACATATTCCACAATCCACCCACCCACTGCCCCCCTTCCCTAGGAAAAGACTCACAGCTCCTGAGAAGTTTCCTCATTCCCCACCCTCTGTCCCTCACACTGACCCTCTACTCCAAACTTCTTCCCCAACTCCCTCCCTCCTTTAAGCCCTCTCTCCCTCACCGGTTCAACTGGAAAGCAGGGGCCCCCTTGGGCTGGGGGGGCACAGGCCGGAGTCCCCCGTGGGGCTCCTCCCGATCAGGGGTAGGTGTGAGTGAGTCCCCGAAGGACCCCAGCACAGTGACTCCTGCAGGAGACAGGTCAGTGAGGGGCTGCTGACTCTCTTCTTGTCGTAGGGCCCCCTGTTGCCCTGAAGGCCTTCGTCGCTTCTGGCTACGGTCCCAGCTGTAGAGAGCAAAGGGAAAAAGATATCAGTCACCACCCCCCACCCTTCCCAGAGCAATACCTTCTTGAAATATTGCAGGATACCACCCCACAAAGTGATGGCACTGTCCTCTAAAAGCACCATCCATCTACTACTGAAACCTTTTTGGTTTCAGTTGTTGCCCTGAAACACTTCTCCCCCAAACCCTCTGGAGACTCCCCCTAGTGAAGTGCACTCAGGGCCACCCCCCCCCCCAAACACCCCATCATTGATCGGGAACCTTCACCCAGGATACAATCCATAGACCTACCCTCCCCAACGTGGTCTCTGTCCCAAATTGATGTCAGAAGCCTTTTCCTTCCTTGGCCAGGTGTCTTGTAATTTAGTTCTAGCTCAAACTGAGTACTAATAATCTGAAGTCCTAGGAGTCTCAACAGAGTGTGAAAAGCTCATGCACAAACTATCACGTGGCTCTACTCTGAACGTTAATTAGTTTTCTTCTAGGATAGGGTGCTTTAAGGGCCTAGTCTTTTGGTGGAGAGGGAGGCAAAAGAAATTCCCAGGCTATATATAGTCCCAGACTATGTATATATATATAGCTAAAGTACGCCACATGGAGGGGGTGAAGGAGGGGCAGAGAAGGGACTAAGGCATAGACAATTTGCTCGTCTTTTTATACTGCCTTGATTAAAAAAATAGCTTTACTTTTTTCATCTGTTTCTCTAGAAAGAGGAATCTATTCTGTCTCTCACTGTCCCCAGGGCAAGATATACTGCCCTACTCCCCCATCCCATCCTACCTATTCCTGCCTTCTCCAGGATCTTATTCTGCATCTACCCCTTTCCTTCCCTCTTGCCCTACCCATCTATCTAATTTAAATCCCACTCTATGCCCCTTTAACATTTTCTGCCCCTCACCCACCAATAATCTATTCTTGAACTCTAGCTTACCAAAATTTGAAGATTATGCCAGTGGCTACTAGGACAATGATGATAGAAATAGTGATGGTCACATAGAGCTGGGGGTCCACACCTGTTTAAGGAAGGATCAAGCATTAGAGAAGCCTTGGGGCAGAATGGTAATTTAGTTTCTGAGAGTGTGTGTGTGTGTGTGTGTGTGTGTGTGAGGGGAGGGTGTTAGTATGGGAAATCTCTCCTTGAATCTTCTCTTTTACCAACAACTCTTCCCTATCTCCAAACTCCTAGCTCCCTTTTCCTAAAATCATCTCTCTTGCCTCTTGAGCACATTTCCTAAAATCTCCAATACATCTGCACAATCTCAAGATGGGAAGGGTTTAGGCAACAGATTCCTCAAACATCTCTGCCCAGACAATGGGGGTTATCAGGATATCTACCTTTCCACATCTACTGTATTCCCAACCACCAGACTCACCTTTTCATTTCCATTTATTTCTCTAGCCATCACCATAGTCTAACTATGGCTCTGATCATAGACACCATGTTTGCCCAAAGTATTTGAGGGAGAGGTAAGGCTATGCTTTCTTGAGCTTCTTCAGTCCCAGTAACCCTAACTTTAATTCACTCTATCCAACTGCATCTCTCTATCTTTATTTCTAGACTCTTTTTACTTTCCCACTCCAGATGAATTTCACCTTCCAAAATTCAGAACTCTGTAACCAGCCTTACTTCACCCCTCGGAAGGCCCTTACATCCATCAGCCTCACCTTCCCCACGGCCACCAAATAGAAATGGACGAAGGGTGGCAGGAGCTCCCCCAAGAATGATCCCATCCCCATCGCCACGTCTCAAGGAGTCCGAGTTGGGATGCGGGGTAGCTAGCCCATGAGGAACTGCAAAGCCATAGTCCAGTGGCAGGAAACCGGGATTAGCAGAATTAGGATCCCCCCCATCCTCTCGGGATACTGTGGGGCCCCATACAATGGCCCAGGGGTACTGGGATGAAGGTGGCCCTTCCTCAAAGCCAGATGGAGTGGCAGGAGGTGCAGTATCTGGTGGTACTTGACGCCTTGAACGTGAGACACGGGGGGACCGGCTTGGGGGAGGTGCTCGTTCCCACACACACACATGTCGAGGAGCTGAGGGACCCCCCCGGGCACATGGGGGACGGGCAGGAGCTGAAGGGGTACGAGGTGAAGAGGTAGAGGAGCCCTGGGCTGGAGGTGGAAAGGGCAGCAGGAGCAGTGACCAGAGTGGGAGGAGGTGGGACATCAACAATGTAGACCTGGAATAGGAAGACAAAAGGAGTGAGATTAATGTATGTTCCCATAAGAATCCATTTGTCAAGGGATGTGTTCTCTGGGCTGGGGGCATGTGGCTAGGATCATTCCTTAGCATTAGTGTAGGGATATTGTTGCTGTTGTTTTTCCCCAGTTTTCTCTCAGTATAGAGTAACCTCTATAAGATTTCTCCATTATCACCAGCTAGGTAATGGAGAAGATGGGACTTCTTGTCAGATTTTAACCATAGTTTCTACTCCCCAACATATTCTTTTTCTCTAGGGAGGAATTTCCCAGGGTTAGGTCAATGAGAAAAGGGTCAACACCCCAGAGAATAGGGTCTCTTTGGACCTCCCTTTGGTATCCAATACCTACCACATCCTGGACTCCATATCTGAGGTCTTCCTCAGCTATGATCTTGATTCTCAGTCTTCCCTGAGGGACAGAACAGATACACAGTTAGTCTATAATCCCCTTTCCCAGTACAATTTCTGAACTTTTGACTTGGGCATCCATTCACCCCTTGATCAATCCCATCTCTGTCCTTTCCATCTGTCCCTTCCCCAGCCTGTCCATATCCCCAAAATTACCTTTTTTTGTCCCAAGTAGTAGCATTATTGCCTTTGTTGCTGCTCCCCAGAGTCAACTGTATCTTGTCCATTGGGAGTCATTGCACTATAGTCTCCTCTCCTCTCCTGTCCCTGAATCAACCAGTCCTCCAGATTCACCTCACATCCCTGAATCTCTGGTTCCTTTCTTCGCACTTCCTTTGTGCTCCCAGCTCTCATCTTATCTCATAGTTTCATAGGTTTAGAGTACAAAGGAAACTGAGAGGCCATCCATTCCAACCCCTTCATTTACAGATGAAGAAACTGAGGTCAGAGAGGCCAAGTGACCTGCCACGTAGTATATGGTAGAGCCTGTACTTGAACCCAGATCCTTTGACTCTAAACCCAATATTCTTTTCCACTGTGTCATGCTGCCTTTTATTTAGGTCCCAGAATTGTGTGAGCATTTGAGCGTGAGCCACAGGGGAAGGAGTCCAAGAAAAAGGTAAGGGGAAAGAGAAGATGCTTTGGTTGGAGGGGGGTTGTTTTTTCCCTATTGCTCCTTAACTCCTTTTATAACCCCATGTTGTAGGAAGCCATTCCCTCCATGGGTAGGGTCCCAGACTTCCAAAAGGAAAAGGGAAAAGCATAGGCTAGAATTTTTGTTGTTGGTGTTTAATCAGCTAATTGCATGGGTGCTTTCTGCAGGGAGGTGGAGCTGAGATAGAGTAGCCTAAAATGTGGCATTCCTTAGGCTCTGAATCCTAGGGGATACCAACAAGTAGAATACCACTTTGGTCCCAACAGGAGCAAATGTTCCTTGTCTGAACAGTCTAATTTTGATTTTGGGTTTGAATTCAAACCCTTAATACCACCAGCTAGGTAATGGAGAAGGATAGAGGGAAAGAAACACAGTGAAGAGAAAGGTAGTTGGTGGGGACAGAGATAGAGCAGCCCAGTGGGTACAAATAAGAAAGGTAATAAGTGGTAGGGGAAAGATGCAAATAGAGGTGGTTAAGTATGAGGGGGGCAAAAGGAAAGAAGAGTTAAAAAAATGAGGAGACAGCTAGAGAGGTGGAAAAAAAGATGGATCTAAAAGGAGGTGGGAAGAAAGACAGGAGAGGGTCAGAAAAAGGTAAGAGAAGGATGCAATAAATAAAGAAGAGAGAGGGGAGAGGAAGATGAGAGAGTGAAGATTGGAGGCAGAAGGAAATAGGTGGGGATAAAAGATATAAGGAAAAGAGAAAACGAAAAAAGGAATCTAGACTATAAAGAAGAGAGACAGAATGATAGGGGGTGGGGAGGAGGAAGAAGAGAGGGAAGGAAATAGAAGATACATGGTAACAGATGATAGAGGGGAGAAAAAGAGGATAGAAAAGTGCTAGAGACAGATCAAGGTAAAGAGGAGAAAGAGGAAGAATAAGAGGAATAGAAATAGCTGACAAGACAGAGCATAGAAAAATGGAAGAGAAAACATACAGGATTCAGAAATTGTCCCTCCAAATTTTCCTAAGGAGGGGAAGAATGTGATTGCTAAGAGAAGGGATGAGGGGCTACTGAAACCTCAAGGTTCATCCTTTCCTGTCTCCTTACCCATCCTCTCAACCTTAACTCCGGCACCTTGCATCCTCCCAACCCCTTCAGGAACCCCGCAGTCCCCAGGATTCAGCGTCTTACACATCCCCCACCCACCTGTCCAAGCTCCGCACAACAGGTCTGTGCGCAAGAGATAAGCTAGGGGGTGGGGCAGAGGGCCCTTCCCAAGGAGTCTGCCCCCATCCCCAAACCATCCTCTCACTACAAACTAGACAGAGCTTCTCCCAGAGATGGACAGGAAGAGGGGTGAGGGGGAGAGACACTGAGGAGGAAGAGTGGGTGGGAAGAGGCCAATGAAAGGAAAAGGAGGAAAACAAGAGAGAAGAGAGCGAAGGAGAAGGGATGGGAAGAGGGAGGAAGAATGGGGAGACAGAGAATGCAGGCAAGGGGAGGGGAAAAGGGATGGCGACAGCTGGGAACACAGAGACGGAGCTGGAAAATAAAGGATGGAGATAGAGATGCGGAATGAAAGAGGCAGATCTAGATGGATGAATGAAAGATGCAGATCTAGGTGGATGGTGATGGTGATGGTGGTGATGGAAACAGAAATGGGGAAGGCGGTATAGAGGCATAAGAAATAGGGACAGGACAGATGGAAATTTGGGGTTGGAAAAGAAGGAGGCTAGGAAAGGACGCAGGATCCAGGAAGGACAGAGCCTGGGCACCTGGGATGAGGGATGGAGGTTGCAGGGTGTTGCACTCACCTGCTCCGTGGCTGATGTTGCGGGATGGCTAGGGGGGCTAGAGGCTGTGCGGGGTTAGGGGGCTGCGGGGGGCGCCAGGCCAGGCGCATGGTCAGGGGACTAGCGGGCGGGGCGCGGGAGGAGGCGCCCCGAGTGTGGGGCGGCGGCAGAGGCTCAGTTCAGCTCTGCTCAGCTCGTCTTGTCTTGTCTTGGCTAAGCGTCAGCTCAGACCTTCCGTCTCCGCCTGCCACGCACTATTTAACCCTCCTGTTACCATGCCGCTGGGGACACGGGGATCCCCGGATGGTTTGGGACAGTGGAGTAGAATAGGGCTGTTGGTCATCCTGACATTCCAGGCTGTGCCTATGTGACTTTCAGCATACCTACTCACTCTTCATCATAAGAAGTATATCACCTCATTTGAGTATCATTCCAACTTCCCATATTCCTACTTTGCCACCTCAATTTCATGTCACTTCATGTCCCCAAATCAGGGTCATCTGAACTCTGGCACCTCAATTCAGAATCACTCAGTTCATATCCCCTACCCTACCACCTTCTTTCTTCTCCTCAGGACAAGGCCCAGAAAAATAGCCATAAAAATCCCATTCCTATCTCCAGCTTCCTGGGTTATGAATTAGGAATTACTGATACATGTGGGGCAAGGGCTTGGCTCCTATGAAACTCTGAGAGTGACCCTGATCACTCTCAACTCTCTCCTTTCTTTCCAGTTTCTCTCTCCTTTCATCCTTGGGTTAGTCTTTCATTTTCTTTCCCCCGAAGCAGATTATGTGACTTGCCCAGGGTCACACAGCTAGTGAGTATCATGTGTCTGAGGTCACATTTGAACTCAGGTCCTCCTGACTCCAGGGCCTGTGCTGTATCCACTATGCCACCTGGCTGCATCTAGTCTTTCATTTTCTATTTGCCTCTCCATCTACTTCTCTTTTCTGCACACTCCCCCACCCACAAAGAATGTAAACTACTTGAGATGAGGAATTGTTTTATTTTTCTCTTCCAATCCTCAACATCTAGCATAATGCCTGTCACATGGTGAACATTTAATGCTTCTTGATTGATTGATTTCCATCTCTGATTGTACAACTCTCTATCCCCTGTCTCCTTTTCCCCAATTTCTACCTGTTTCTTACTTCATTTTAAAATTAATATCTTTGTATTCAGGATCTAACTTTATATGCCAAGCTTCTTTCCTATCTTTTACCTCTCCCTCCCATTTGATTATTATCCAGAGTTAGAAGAGAGATTATTGTTGAGGACAGGAGTCCAGAGGCTATTAAATGCTGCTGTGTTCCTGTCAATTTGTTCCACACAACTTGGTGAAGAAGAGCCAGTTACTTCATATGTACATCTGAAAATAGGAGAAGTTGTGTACACTGGAACACTTAATGTGTGTTCTCTATGTGGTTTGTATGTACCCTGGTTGTGCCATCTAGATGTACAGTCCCCTTTGTCATATGTGCATGCTCAATGTGTATTCTGGATATATATGTGTGTACTGCATTTCTGCCTTGGATATGTATATGTGCAATGGGTATTCACAATCTGTGTTTGTATATTTGTATATGTCCATGTATTGGGGGAAAAGCGTATAGGACATTGGGTCATTAGTTTAGTTCCATCTGCGGATTTTGCTGCATTTCTTTAGAGACATTTTCTAAATCCCTTTCATTACTGGGATTTTTAAAATCCCTGCATTTGTGCTATGATATTTCTTTACATAAAATTGAGTTATATGCCTGGGCTTGGTATAACAATTTAACATAATAATTTTCAAGTAGATGACTGGTTGAATAGATCTCAGTTTTACTTCTCAATGTTTTCTTTTCCAGGTCTCTGTGTCAGACACTTTTCTTTCTCTGATTAGCTATTTCTCCCAAGCTTTCCCTTAGCCTTATTAGCAGAATGCCCTGTACAAGTGTTGAGTTAATTTTTGATGAATGAATGCACGAATTACTTGTTTGGGGAATTGTACAAAGTTAAACAGACTTAATTCTTATCTTCTGCTGTTTCTCTATTTCTTTTCTCCATTTCTGTCCTCTTTCTTTATCCCACTTTTTATCACCTTTTTCATTGACTTTTTCTGTTTCCTCTCATCTATCCCTCTCTCTTATTTCTTACTCACTGTATTCTATCTTTTCTCTATCACTCTTTGTCCTTTCTTCCCTTCCTCTCTCCCAGTTCATAAATAGAATTACTTCTTAAAAGCCAGAAGGGAACTTAGAATCTAATCAACTTTATCATTGTACTGGTGAGGAAACTGAGACTCAGATGAAATAACTTCCCCATGTCACACAATTAGTGAGTGGTAAAATGTGGAACAATGGAGCTGGACTAAAATCTTGACTATGCTACTTCCTATATGTGTGGCCATTGGCAAGTTACTCAACCACTTAAGGCCTGTATTCCTGTTGAGTAAGGAGGTTGGAGAGAAAATGACACAAATTTATAACATCAAGAGCCACTCCCAAATAAATAAGTGGCCAAAGGATGTGAACAAACAGTTTTCAAGAGGAGAATTGTAAAATGCACATTATCACATTAAAATATGATTTAAATCACCAATAGTAAGAGAAGTACAAATAAAAACTCGCACCATGCAGATTGGCAGAGATAAAAAAAATGGGGAGTAAATTAGTTGGAGAGGCTAGGGATGGTTAGGTAGCAGCACTGGATTTCTAGTTGGAATTTACATAAGAAAAGTAACTAAACTGGACATACTTTTCGCTCTAACAATCTTACTACTGGGTATATACTTCATGGAAGTAAAAGACAGGGAATAAAGGTCCAAAATACAACAAAATACTAAGTACTCTGCAGGTAGCAAACAAGTAAAACAAAGTAGGTGCTCACCAACTGAAGACTGGCTTTAAAGAATGAGCTGTTCAAAGTAATAGAATATTAACAAAAATTTTTAAAGTGCTGAATATGGAGAATATGGAGAATTGTGGGAAGATTTTGTATGAACTAACACAAAATTTGCAGGATTAGCAGAAAAGTATACACAACCACAACACTGTAGTAGTTTTAATAGATGGAATAATGGAAAAGCTAATGAAGATTTCTGAGAAGAGACAGTAAAACCTATCTCTTTTCTGATGTTAGAAGGGTGATTCTAGGACAGAATATTGTAAATGATGTCTGATAGGGTCAGCTGTTTTTGCTTAACAGCTTTTTTTGTTACAAAGGAAAGTTCATTCTGGAGAGGGGGTGAGAAATGAGTGTAATACAAAGACAAAGGCACAAAAAGACTGTCTAAAAAAAATAAAATGAAGAGAGCTGAAGACTTTGTAGTAGCAATGATCTGGAAATAAACAGATATTAATTGAAAAATGTCAGAACAAATCACTGGTTATATGAATGTAATGGAATACCATTGTGTCAAGTGAAATAGAAATAGGAAAAATTCAGACAAGCTTGAGATGAACTGATGCAGAATCAAAACAATTTACATGACGATCACAATAATGTAAAGGAAAATAAAACTGAAAGAATTCAGAACTCTGACCAATATAGTGACAGATTATGACTTCAGAGCCTCAGAAAAAAGATGGTGGAATATAGGCTACAAAATGAGAAATACATTTTCAGACATAGGTAATATGTTGATTTATTTTGATTAACTATGCTTCTTTGTTATAAGGGAAGGCTTTATGAGGGACAGGAAAACCATTAGGGCATTGATATTAAAATAAAACAATTCTTTAAATCCCAATAATAAAGGCTTAGAAGAGATCATGAAACACCTCTTTCCTCACTGCAGAGAAATGGGGGACTACTAAGACAAAATATTATATATATTGTCAGACAAAGCAAGATGTGGATGTTTTCGCTTAATTACTTATCTTTTTCACGAAATATCATTCAGTCTAGAGGAGGTGGGGATAGGAAAAGACAAAAGGTATCAATAATTTTTTTTTAAGAAAAAAGAATGGGTTGGACTAGATGACTTCTAAAGTCCCTTCCACCCCTGAATATGTGAAAAAGAAATGTCTCTCTGCGCTCTTCTCTCCTCTTCTCCGTTGTCTATTTCCTTTTTCCCCGTTCCTTTCTTCCCCTTGTTGTCTCTGCCATTGTAACCCCGCCATCGCGCGGCTGCTGGTCCCACGCTGCCTGAACGGCTTCCCGGAAGGGTTTCCCTAATCAAGTGCGGGACGCTCATACTTGTTAGAATAAAGAGGCGTCGGCACTTATCATACAGCATTTCTAAACAATAAAGTTTTTTTGAAAGTCAAGGAGAAAAAACTCAGCAGTCGCCTGCCATTCTCCCGACGATGGCCAATCAGAACTTAGAGAGGGCTAGCGCGCCCTTTACATCCCGCCCCTGGGAGGCTCCCGAAGCCTGTGACGTAAAGGAGCGGAAGTGGGGGGCCTTGGGAGCCGGTCATAGAGTTTTGTGGCCAGAGTGGCCACGGAGGGAGGCATTGGTAACGGTTTCTAGCAGCTGGCGGAGGTGAGGGAGGGGCCATTCCTCCAAGTGCACGCGAAAGGCGAAGCTGACAGGTAGCCGCAGCCCTACAGAGCCTGTTTGGGGCCGCTGGGCTAGAGTCCACAGGCCCTGGAGTCGGCCCCCTTAAGGGCGGGGGTGGGGAGGTGAGGGGGTGGGAGGCCGTGGGGGCGGGGGCGGAGTCCGGCGGAAGGCGAGAAGGGGACAGGGGTCACGCGGGCCAGGAGGCGATCAGGGGCACGTGCCTCGCACGCGCACACCCCTCGCCTCGAAGGAGGGGGAGGGGCAGAGCAGAAGGGTGCAATCACTCCCCCTTAACGCAGCGTTCGGTGGAGTGCTGCTCTGTGGTGGGGCCCAGGTCGGGGGGGGGCGGGGTCAAGGAATGGGAAAGAAGTCCACCATCCCGGGATGTGGTTGGCCCCATCTCCCCGAACACTAGTCTGATTTTTTCCCCCAATGAACCTCCGTTTGTAAAGTCCATAAGGCCCGGATCTCCTATTCTTGGGGAACCTCTCCCTCTCCCCAGTCCTGGTCTTAGTCTGACCTGTGTTGATCAAGCACCTCTGGACCGTGGACTGTGTTTGGTTGATTCTGTGCTTCCCATCCTGCAGTGCCCCGCCCACAAGGACTTCCCCCCCCCCCTTCTTGCCTGCTTTCAACCCCCTTCTTCCTTGCAGCTCCAAGCCTCCTGAGCCCAGTGGCCCCCAGCCCAGTCTAGCCATGAGCTCTGAGGTGAAGGTGACAGGGCAGAACCAGGAGCAGTTCCTGCTTCTGGCCAAGTCAGCCAAAGGTGCTGCTTTGGCTACCCTCATCCACCAGGTGCTGGAGGCCCCAGGTGTTTATGTTTTCGGGGAGCTGTTGGACATGCCCAATGTCCGAGAGGTGGGTACCTGATTTGAGGAGTCCCGCAGACCTTCTTATGGAGACTCCATCAGCAATCCCTCACTCCCCTTTTTAGATTAGAGCAGAGAGTGGCAGCCAATGACTAGTACTGTTCAGCCCATGTATCTGGCTCAAAAACAAATAGGGTTCGTTGAGGTTAGGGTTAAGAGGCCTTTCAACAATAAAGGCTTCTGTTGAGAAGTTAGAGATATATAAGAGAATCACTTCTATTATTATTAACAGGTTCTTTTAGGTTACTAGGCAGATAACTAACAAAAGATGAGTAGGGAAAGGCTTGGTTCCTGTGAAAAAGTAAGATGTAAGGGGCAGTGGCAGAGTAGATAGAGTGCCAGGCATGGAGTCAGGAAGACTCATTTTCTTGAGTTCAAATCTGGCCTCAGACACTGACTAGCTGTGTGACCTTGGGCAAGTCACTTAACCCTGTTTGCCTCAGTTTCCTCATCTTTAAAATGAGCTGGAGAAGGAAATGGCAAACCACTCCAATATCTATGCCAATAAAACTACAAATGGGGTCACAAAGAGTCTGACGAGACTGAACAACCAACAAACAACCAAGGGGCACGAGATCTCCCTACTTTTTTTGATCCTGGGCCCAGTTCCATCAGTAAAACATGTTTTGAACAAACACACTAAAATGTATATATTTTAAAGTTATATGCATGAATTACTCTACGAACATATGCGTTATGAAACACATGCAAAAATAGGAATTTGAAAAAGGTGAGTGCCCACTGGGTAGAAGCTACCCATATTTAGACTGCATAGTAAGGGAAATATTCTGACCATTGAAACTCTAAAAGAGGAATTGCAGAGGTTGAAAAGGATGAGATAAAGATGAAATAATGTTTTGAAATTTAAAAAATTTTTACAGTACCAGAAAACTTTTTATGCTTATTCTCAGTGCGATGAGAGCATTATGCTTGAATATACTTTCTTATTTTCAAAAAATTCCCTGTGTATGTCCTATGTGAACCTGTAAATAATAATTTGGTTAGTAATTTATTATGGTATCAGTATAGTTAACCAAACAAGTGAATTTCTTTTTAAATATATTTTTTCTAGATACACAATAAATAGTGAACATAATAGCTTTTGATTTAGAGTCACATTTCTTTGTGTAAGTATTCACTATTTACAATGTAAATATGAGCAAAAGTAAATTTTCTCTGATTTCAACCCAGGAAAACATTTTCAATATAAATCCATTCCTATTTATGTGGTTCTGCTGTTTGGATACTATAGTTATGTTTTTTGAATGAGTGTGAGGAACAGTCAAGAGGCTGGTTATGCTGAATTTGAGTGCAAGAAGCCAGAAAGTAATATATAATAAGTCTGGAAAAGTGGATTAGGGCCAGATTGTGAAAGATTTTAAATGTCAAAGAAAGGAGTTTATATTTGATTGTAGAGGCAATATGGAAACCATGGAGTTTGTTAACTAGGGAGGTGACAGTGGTCCAACCTGCATTTGGGGAAATCATTGTCAGGTCTATGGAGAAAAAATTGGAATGGGAAGAGACGTAAGTAAGGAGACCAATTAGGAGGTCATTGCAGTAAGCCAGGTAAGACTGGGGTGAAGGAGGGATCAGATGAATAGTCTGATCTAGGGCATTGTTTGAATGGATAGACAGAAAAGGATTTCAGAGATGTTGTACATGTGTTCCACAGAAATGACAGGATTTTGGCAAGTTTGGCTATGTAGGGTAAGAGGAAGAATCAAGGATGATAATGAGGTTGCAAACCCAGGTGATATCCTTCACAGACACAGGGGTGAATCTGGACAGAAAGATAATGAGTTCTGTTTCTGTACGTTTTTGAGATGTCTGTTGGGCATCCATTTGGTACTGCCTATTCAGTTAGTGGAGAGAGAATAGGGCTGAATATATAGATCTGGGAGTCCTCTGCATGGAGAGTAATTGAATCCATGAGAGCTGATGAAAGAGTGTAGTGATAAAAGATGCCCAGAGCCTTGGGGTACACCCATAGTTATTGGGTGTGACATGGATGGTGCATTGGCAAAAGTGTTGTAGAAGGAGCAGTCAAACAGGAGAAAAATAGAGAGAGACCAGTGCCATGAAAATTCAGAGAGGGGAAAGTATGGAGGAGATGGTGGTCAGTAATGCCAAATACTGCAATCAAGGAGGATTAGATTAAGAAGAGAGAGACCATTAGATTTGGCAGTTAAGAGTGGAGAGAACACTTTCAATTGAATGATGATGTTGGAAGCCAGATTACAGCGGATTAAAAAGACAGTAAAAGGAAAGGAAGTAGAAACTGAGCTTTTTCTAGGAGTTTAGTTAGGAGAAGGAGAAGAGGCATAAGATGATCATTATTGTGGATAATAGGTTCAAGTAAAGTTTTTTAAGGATGAGAGAGATATGGTCATGTTTGGAAGTAGCAAAAAAGAATCAGCTAATAGGGATTTAGGAAAAGGTGATGATAGTGAGTTCAGTCTGCTATAGAAGGTAGGAGGGAATGGGATTGAGAGTAAACATAGAGAAGTTGGATTTGGTGAGAATGGTTACCTCATTTTCAGAATCTGGAGCAAAGTAAAAATGAGGGAGGATGATAACAAGGGGTTAAAAGATAAGGAGGTTGTCAAATGGTAGAAAAGGAAGTTTTGGTAAATAACCATGAGGCAAAGACCTCAGGCAAGGTAGGAGAGGAGGTGCTCTTGAAGGCTTGAAGAGAGAAGAGGTTTGGAAAAACCATTGTGAAGAGTGGGATAGAGAATCAGTTGAAGAGCAGTAAAAAGGTTGCCTTGTTACAGTGACGATCCAGTTGGGAAAAAAGATAACGTAAATTTGTAGTGGATTCAGTCAACGTAGTTGCAGTTGGTTGAAGGAGCTAAAGATGTTTAACCTGGAGATGAGAAGACAGATTCTCTTCAAGAATTTAAAAGAGGGCTTTGTCTTGTTTTGCTTGGCCCCAGAGGGAGAAGTAGCAGCATTAGGTAGAAGCTACAGAGAGACATCTTTAGACTGCATGTAAGGGAAATTCTTCTAACCATTGAAACTGTCTAAAAGAAATTCCAGAAGTTGTGGAGGTGATCACTTGTCAGAGATATAGAGAAGATTCCTATTCAGTTAGGGGTTTGAATAGATAGGCTTTTGAATCCCTTCTAATATTGAGATTCTCTGATTGTGTCCAACAAAAAAGTATTACAGTATGTCAGAGAGTAAGCATTTGTTAGGTACTTCTGTGCCGGACACAGTGCTATGTGCTGTGGAAGAAAGGCAAAAGACAGTCCCTTCTCTCCAGGAGCTTACAGTCAATGGGGGAGGCAACACAAAAACAACTATATACAGAAAAGATGTTTGCAGGGTAAATTGGGGATATTCAATAAAGGCAGTAGCATTAAAGGGCATCAGGAAAAGCTTGAAGAAAATATGTTTTAGCTAGCACTTAAATGAATCCATGGCAGCCAGGAGGTAGAGATGAGTAAAAAGAGTATTCCAGGTATGGGGAACTGCCAGTGAATATTTCCAGATTTAGAAGAGTATTTTGTTCAAGAAACAACAAAGAGGCCAGTGTCACAAGATTGAAGAGTTTATGGTAAGGAATAATGTATAAGAAGACTGGAAAGATAGGAGGATGGCAGGTTGTGGAGGGCTTTGAATAACAAACAGAGGATTTTATATTTGATCCTGGAGGTGATAGGAAGCCACTAGAGTTTATTGACTGGGGAGGGGTTGGGATAAGATGATGAGGTGGTTAAGACATGGTCACATCTGTACTTTAGTTAGAATACTTTGATAGTGGAGTGGAGGATGGTTTGGAGTATGGGGAGAGATCTGAGGCAGGGAGACCAACCAGCAGGCTATTTCAGTAGTCCAGGCATGAAGGGATGAGGCATTCCAGGGTGATGACAGTGTTAGGGGAGAGAAGGGGTTTTATATGAGAGAGAAGTTATGAAGAGTGGGAGAGTGAGGAGTCGAGGATGACACTTGGAGTTAAGAGGCTAGGTAGAAGGTAGTGTGCTCAATGGTAATAGTGAATTTTGGAAATGGGGAATGTTTAGGCTAAAAAAGATGAGTTGAGTTTTGCACATGTTGAGTTTATGATGTCTACAGGACATCTAGTTTGAGATGTTGCAGTTGGAGGAGGGAGTCTGAAGATTAGGAAGAGGTTAGGGTTGGCCAAGTAGATCTGAGAATCATCAGCATAGATATAAAAATTGGAATTTTTGGAGCTGATGAGATCACCAAGTGAAAAATACACAATCTTGGTAAGGTCTAAATGGAATTAAAGAAGTTGGCTATATATAAAACTCCTTTTGGTGTAGGAAGAGACTTTAGGCAAAGAGACCAATTAGGAGACCATTGCAGTAGTCCAGATAAGCAGTGGTAAGGTATCTGAAGTAGGGTGTTTTGTGAGTGAACAGAGAGGAAAAGATTCTAGAAATGTTGAGTAGATAGAAATGACAAAATTGGGCAGCTCTTTGGACATGTGGTGTTTAGTGAAAGTTAGGAGTCAAGATTGTTAAGTCAAAGATACAATAAGGTTGTAAATCTGGGTAACTGAAAGGAGGGGTATGCCCTCCACAGAAATAGGGATTTGGAGATAGAAGCAGGTTCCAAAAAGACCCAATGATGGTGAATATAGAGGGGGCAAGGGCCAAATGGAAGCAAGACCTTTTCTGAGATTCTCTGACTCATTAGAATAATAAAATCCCAGAATTAGAGGGGAAGAGCTTCCCTAGGTCAATTCCTCTGCCAACCAAGTGTTCATCAAAGCACTGCTTGAATATGTACAGTGACTCACTGCCTCCATAGGCAGTTCATTCCATTTTTAAACATCTCTAATTAATCCTTTGACCAGGGTGGTGAGAGAATAAGTAAGATAGGCTTAGTTCTATAAAAATTCTAAATAAGCTATGGAGATTCCTTCCTTAGCCAGTCTTTGACAGCATGGCACTTTGTTGTTTCATAAGGCAAGGTTATAAATTTCTTGACCTATTGACCTTGTTCTTATTATAATTAGAACATCAACCTTTCACCAAATAATAGAAGGTTCCTTCCCTATGATTCACACATTATCCAGAATCCTCTGGTTTTCTCCGGAATTCTTAAATCAGGATCATAACCATCTCAGCAGTAACTTTCAAGCACCAACATTTTAGTTAATATATTTCAACCTATTCTCCATATCCATATAACCCATATCCATACTGACCGACTTTTAAAGGAGAAAGGGAATATTGAGGTAGAGAATAAAATTTTTTGGAAAGAAAATATATCTAATTTTGGGGGCTTTGAAATTACTGCCCTTATCACATAATTTTGCCCTTCTCTTGTGATCCTAGTAGGTATTCCACATGACAAATATTCTAGTTTTCGAATGTACTTAACTCTCAGGTATGTCTGTCTAGGTAAGGGCTTTTGCCCTGTGGGTCAAAATGACATGTACATTTGCCCCTAGATAGATAGATAGATAGATAGATGTATATATGAATATATATACATCTATCTATCTATCTATCTATCTATCTATCTATCTATCTATCTATCTATCTATATCTGTTTAGGTGCTGTATATCTTTAGCCACAGAACAAAGATCACAAGGTCTTAATGACCTTATGAGTTGATTCCTCTGCCTTTTTAGGCTAATTTTTGGTGGAGAGAATGTTGCTGTCCTTTGCCCCTTGTTTTCTGTAGGGTGGAGCTATGAAGTTTCATTCTACAGCAGTAGTAGTAAGCATTTATTGAGTTGGGCTTGTACCCAACATAGAATCACAGAATTTCAGATGTGTTAGGGACCTTAGAAATCATCTATTTCCCCCATATCGAGCACGAATCTTTAAATAATTATCTAACTGCCAAAACAACTCTAGTAATGAGAACTCACTACCTTTTGAGGCTGTTCATTCTACTTTTTTGAGAGTTTTGGACAGTGTTAGGCCCTCTGAAGTATGTAAGAGAAGTGTAAGACATGATTCCTTCTTCATGGAATTTTTAGTCTCATTGAAAGAAAAGAGTTAAGCACGTGAAATAACTAGAAAATAGTTCATTCAGTCAGTTTTGACTAAGCACCTACTAAGTTTTTTGGCACTGTGCCACTCCACTTCAGAAATATGAGGTAAAATACTCCCTTTAGGAGTATATATTTAGAGAAGCAAAAGAACTACAAACACAAAAGTAGTTAAGTAATTATAAAAGGCAGTGTGGTTCAGGACTAGAATAAGTGATACAGATAATTAGGAATTCAGAGAAGGAGAAAATCAGCATGGGTAGCAGGATGGCTCCAAATAGAAGATGGGAATTGAAATTGGCTGAAGGACAAGTGGGATGTGGGTAGAAGGTAGACATTCCAGGTCAGGGAGGAAACAACATAAACAAAAAGAGGTAGGCAAGAATGAGGATAGAGGACTTTGAGGACATTAATGAAGCTAGACCGTTCTCGTAGCGAATATTGAATAGTAGTGGGAGACAGGGTTAGATAAATAGAATGGGGACACATATGAATTCAGAGCAATGTAAACATTGGCAATTGTGGGGTGACTATTTTCCTGTGACCCTATTTCCTCTAGCTGGCAGAGAGTGACTTCGCTCCCACATTCCGACTGCTCACAGTGTTTGCTTATGGGACATATGCAGACTATCTAGGTAAGCAGAGGGTCTGGGTGGTAGGATGGGGCTATGAAGGGAGAAGGGGACAGAGAAGCATAGAATTTCTTGGGAATATACTGATGGAAATATGTTCCTAGGTTACTGCTCAGCATTAAACTCCTAGGGAACATTTATATATTATTTTGTATTCTAGATTTTTGTATATGCATTATCCTTTCCTAGACTTTAAGTAACTTGGTGGCAGAAATGTTGCATTACGTAAACTTTATCTCACCCAGTGCCCAGCACAATCCTCTGCATGAAGTAGGTATTTAATAAAAGTTTGATGAATTTAGTTGAATTTGTTGACTAAGCGCATTAGGGGCCAGAACCTAGACTGACATTAGAAACTCAGGGCTTGGGCAATGGAGGATGGGAATTAGGGCCTTTCTTCAGTTTTGAGATATGAAATCCACATTCATAAGACCTGAGTTACAGCCCCAGCACTTCCTAACACTGCTAACAGTGTTTTTACTAGCTTTGTGACTATAGGCAAGTCAACTTCCCTGATCGTTGATTTCATCTATAAAATACAATAATAATATTTGTACCCTTCATAAGTAATAGTTGTGAGGATCAGATGAGAAGCATGCACTTTATTTTTTTAATTTAATTTAATTTTCAGTTCCAAATTCTTTCCCTCTTACCCACCTATTGAGAAGGCAAGAAAAACAAAATCATATATATACACACACACATATACACATATATATACACATACATATATGCATATATATACATACATATGTATTACACATACAACACATGCATATATTATATATGTATAGTCATGTAGAACAAATATCTTCATAATAATAAATTTTAAAAATCGAGAAATCAAGAAATAGAAGAAAATATGCTTTGATCTGCACTCTTCAGTCCATCAGTTTTCTACCTGAAGGTAGATAATACATTTCATAATGATTCCTGTGGAATTATGATTGGTCACTGTATTGATCAGAATTACTAAGTTTTTAAAATTGATTGTCTTGACATATTGCTCTTATTGTATAAATTGTTCTCTTGGTTCTGCTCACTTCACTTTTCATTAGTTCATATAAGTCTTCCCAGGTGTTTCTGAACCCATCCTTTCATCATTTCTTACAGCATAATAGTATTCCATCACATTTATTTTTGTCTATGCTTATGTCTTAAATTTTATTCTTGCCGTATTGCCATAGCCAGCCTTGCTTCACCCTTAAGCTGATTCAAAATACTCTAGCTTATCCTCATTACAAATAATGCTTGCTCTTGGTTTTAAATAGATACTTCTTGTCATTTTAGGGCCTTGTCTCAGTTATTCCTGTGCTTTCTACTGTTTTAACAGGAATGGGTGTTGTATTTTGTTAAAGACTTTTTCTGCATTTATTGAAATAATCATGATTTTGTTGTTTTGTTAATGATATGGTCAATTATGCTTATAGTTTTCTTAATACTGAACCAGCCTTGCATTCCTGGTATAAATCTAGCCTGATTATATTGAATGATCTTAGTGATATATTGCTGTAATTCCCTAGCTAGTGTTTTATTTAAAATTTTTGCATCAATATTAATTAGGGAAATTGGTTTTCTTTCTCTGTTTTAACTCTGCTTGGTTTAGGAATCAAGACCATATTTATATCATGAAAAGAATTTGGTAGGGCTCCTTTACCTGTTTTTTCAAATAGTTTATGTAGTTTTGGAATTAATTGCTCTCTAAATGTTTGTAGAGTTCACTTGTAAATACATCTGATCATGTTGTTTTTTTTTCCCTTAGGGTGTTCATTTGTGCCTTTTTCGATTTCTTTTTCTGAGATAAAGTTATTTAAGTGTTCTATTTTCTGTCTAGTTAATCTGGGCAATTTATATTTTCCTAAATATTCATCCATTTCATTTAGATTGTCAGTTTTATTGGCATATAGTTGGGTGAAATAGCTCCTAATAATTGCTTTTATTTCATCTTCATTGATTGTGAATTTATCTTTTTCATTTTTGGAATTGATAATTTGGTTTTCTTCTTTAAAAAAAATCAAATTAGCCACTAGTTTTATCAATTTTATTTATTTTTTTTAAAGCTTCTAGATTTAATTATTAATTCAGTGATTGGTTTAAATCTCAATTTTGTCATTGTCTCCTTTGGTTTTCAGGATTTCTATTTTGGTATTTAATTGAGCATTTTTAATTTATTGTTTTTCAAATTTTTTAGTTGCATGCCCAATGTATCAATCTGCTCTTTTTCTCTTTTATTGATGTAAGTGTTTAAAAATATAAAATTTCCCCTAAATACTGCTTTAGCTGCATTCCACGAATTTTGATATATTGTCTCATTATTGCCGTCTTTAGTGAAATTATTTATTGTTTCTATGATTTGTTCTTTGACCCAATCCATATTTTAGGATTAAGTTATATAGTTTCCCATTACTTTTTAATCTATGCTTCAATCTATGCCTTTTAAAAAAATATTATTCTAAGGGGCAGCGAGGTGGTGCAGTGGATAGAGCACTGGCCAGAGCACTGGCCCTGGAGTCAGGAGGACCTGAGTTCAAATCCAGCCTCAGACACTTAACATTTACTAGCTGTGTGACCTTGGGCAAGTCACTTAACCACATTGCCTAGCCCCCCTCCCCCAATTATTCTTATTAATATAAGAAACAATAGATGGGCAGAGTTGATGCAAACTAAAAGCACCAGAAACAGATCTAGTCATTAAGCCAATAGCTCAAGTACTTTAACAACAACAAAAAAACAGAGTTTTTTATACATCAGGGCCAGTGAGACCCTCAGCTGGTACCTCACAAGCTGGAGGCCTTTTAAGACTGACAGCAGTGAACTTGCTGCTCAGGGACTTGGATAGAATTCGGATGTCCCTGATTCCTCAACTGCACAAAGAGATTGGCTCCAGCACCCCAAAAGGCTGGATGGTGGGAAGGCAAAAGGGGCTGCATGGTGTCATGCTTCTACATGCAATAGTCCTGGGGGCAGTCAATTGGGATTTGCAGGCCTGCTCCCTCTTCACCCCTTACCTAATGCAGATAAGGGAGCAACAAGCTGGCTAAATAAAAACATTATTGAAAATAATTTTTTATTACATTACAGTCAGAAAAACATGCATTTAATATTTCTGCTTTTCTGCATTTGTTTGTGAGATTTTTATGCCCTATTGCATGGTTAAGTTTTGCAAACATCATATGCATAGCTGTTTCCATTCAGTCTTCTCCAGAGAAGAATCATGTCTAACTTTTCTAAAATTCTGTTCATCTCTTTAGCTTCTTTCTTGTTTATTTTATGGTTAGATTTATCTGGGTTTGAGAGGGGTAAACTGAGGTTTCCCACTATTATAGTTTTAGTGTCTGTTGCCTCTTGTGACTTATTTAATTTTTCCTTTAATAATTTATTTTGTTTGTTTTTTTTGGTTGGGCAGTGGGGGTTAAGTGACTTGCTCAGGGTCACACAGCTAGTGAGTGTTATGTGTCTGAGGCTGGATTTGAACTCAGGTCCTCCTGAATCCAGGAGGATTCCTGAATCCAGGGCTGGTGCTCTATCCACTGGGCCATTAACATGGCATTAACTCATTGTCTGTGCTACCTTTTAGCAAAATGTAGTTTCCCTATCTTTTTTTTTTTAATTTTCAAATTATTTATTTTTAGTTTTCAACATTCACTTCCATAAGCTTTTGAGTTTTAAATTTTCTCTTCTTCCCTCCCTTCCCCCCTTCTCAATATGGCATGCAATCTGATATAGGCTTTACATGTACAATCTTATTAAACATATTTTCACATAAGTCATGTTATAAAGAGGAATTAGAACAAATGGAGGAACCACGAGAAAGAAGAATCAAAACAAAGCAAAAAAAGAGCAAATATTGTGCTTCATTCTGTATTCAGACTCCATAGTTCTTTTTTTGAATGTGGATAGCATTTTCTATCATGAGGCTTTTGGAGTTGTCTTGTATCCTTGTATGGCTGAGAAGAGCTAAGTCTGTCGAAGTTAGTCATCTCACAATGTGGCTGTTAACTGTGTACAGTATTCTCCTGGTTCTGCTCACTTCACTCAGCATCGGTTTGTATAAACCTTTCCGGGTTTTTCTGAAGTCTACCTGCTCATCATTTCTTATAGCATAATAGTATTCCATTACATTCCTATACCACAACTTGTTCAGCCATTCCCCAGTTGATGGGCATCCCTTCAAATTCTGATTCTTGGCCACCACAGAAAAGAGCAGCTATAAATATTTTTGTACATGTGGATCCTTTTCCCATTTTTATGATCTCTTTGGGATATAGCCCTAGAAGTGCTATTGCAGAATGAAAGGGTATGCACATTTTTATAGCCCTTTGGGTGTAGTTTCACATTACTCTCCAGAGTGTATTGGTTCACAACTGCACTGTTTATCTTTTTTTATTAGATCTATCTTTGCTTTTGCTTTATCTGAGGTCATGATTGCCACTCCTGCTTTTTTACTTCAGCTGCAGCATAATAGATTTTGCTCCAGCACCTTATTTTAACTATATATGTATCTTTCTGTTTTAAGTGTATTTCTTATAAACAACATATTGTTGGATTCTTGTTTCTAATCCATTCTGCTAATGCTCTTCTGTTTTATGGGTGAGTTGGTCCCATTCACATTCACAGTTATGATTGCTAACTATTTCCCTCCATTCTATGCTCTTATACTTATCCTTTTCTCTCTCTCTCTTTTTTTAACCGTGTCTCCTCTCTGAATCATTTTGCTTCTGACTACTGCCTCCCTTAATCTACCCTCCCTTTTATTCTCCATCCCTTTCTCTTAAACCTTTTCCCTCCTATTTCCCTGTTGAGCAAGACGAATTTCTGTACCCAGTCACTTGTGTGTGTGTGTGTATTCTTCCCTCCTTGAATCAGTTTAGATTAGCTCTCTGCCCAACAGCCACTGCCACTGTATAAACTCTTCCTTGTGCACCATATTTGTAGAGATGATTTTACCCATTCTTCCTCTACCTTTCTGTCTCTTCCAGTGCATCCTTTTCCGCCATCCTTCC